TCCAGGTGATGGCAATGACTTTGGAGTAGGAGCCAGTTGGACTCATTTTGCTGCAAGATCCAAAAGCAACAGAGATGGGAAAACATTCTTTATTCCTCAAACCAGACAAAGATCAGACAAACGAGACCATCGCAAGACCTGCCATGCACCTGCCACAGAGGGAGCACAACAAGCAGCACCATCCCAGAGAAACAACAACCTGAGAGCCATCACACTGCTGACTGCAGGATCACCAACCCCCCAGGCAGCTCAGTCTGTGCCAGCTTGGCCTGAGAGCACAGTGGGACTTGGCCCAGTCTCCAGAACCCCAACCTCAGCCAGGAGGTGGCTCAAACCCAGAGCCTGTGGGGAGCGGCTCCTTGCCCAGCCCCTCGCTGCCCCAGCAGCACACAGACTCCTTCCAGACAACCTACTTCGTGTTTTCACGTTACACTGATAGTTTCTGCCAGCCCAGGCACCCAGGCCAGCCTGCACTGCCATCAGGGTGGCAGCCAGAAGCTGGAAACTGAGCAGCATCTGCTTCCCTCAGGATGCTCAAGCAGGGCTCGCTCCACCTCCCCCAGCCTGAGAGCAGCCTGGGATCACAGCTCAGCCTCGTTTCTCTTCCTCTTCTCCTCTTTCCTCCCTCCTTCTCTCTACCACAGCACCAGGAAGCACACACCACCAGGGAGGTTCCAGCTGCTGCCCACACTCCGCAGCAAACCAGGATTTCTGAGCCATGAACACCAGGAACAAGCAGAAAAATTTCTCCTGCCACGATTTCAGCAGAGCTACAAACACCTGGGGAGACACAGCTGGACATCATTCAGACCAGCCCTGAGTGCCTGCCCTCCTGCTGGCCTCATTCCAGCCCTCTCTGCTTTCTCAGCTCACTGATATCTGCTGCTCACAGCAAGACACCCCTAAGCTCCCTCTGATGCTCAACAGGATCCGCCTGATGCCCTGATGTGACACCAAACAGCCACCTGAGATCCATGGGCCTTCTGCAGGATGGAAGCTGGACCTGCTGCAAGCCCCTTGCAGCTCTGGCCCCACAAATCCCCTCATGAGGACTCCAACAAACAAACTTCAGCTCAACAGGCTGCATCCTCCTCTGCCATGCCCGAGCCTGGCAGCAGCTCACTCATCTCACCATGCCCACATGGCATGGCCAGTCACCTCCAGCACTCTCCTGGCCCTGCACCACCACCATCCACACACCCAGAGAAGAGAAAAAGCAGAGTGTCTGCTCATACTCACAGGTTTGAAGTCCTCATGGGTGCACTCCTGGCCCTTGAACTTGCAGTAGAGCATCATATCCTTCAGGTCGTGGCCAACCCGTGCCAGGAACTCCTGCATGCTGAAAACTTTGGGTTTGTACTGCTTAAAGTTAGCCTTCTCTTGGAGGATGGCTAAGACAGCTGGGTCAGCCAGGTGAGGGTTGGGGATCTGCAGGTTGACATCCAGCAGTGCCAGGAGCTCCCCAGCGTGGTACAGGTCGTTGGTGGTGAGCCGGGAGAAACGGAACTCGTTGAGGTTACAGATGGTGACAGCAGGGAACACCAAGCTGTTTGCCACCACCTCATCCACTTTGGTCACGTGCTGGTAGGAGAAGTAGAAAGCCACTCGGTCTGAGCTCTCAACCAGGAGCAGACCCAAGGAACCCACAAAGGCCAAGGTCCAGAGCAGGCGCCGGACGGTCACCGGCCCATAGACGAAGACGTAGCGGATCCCGTGGAGTGTGGAGGTGTTGGCAAAGATCTGGATGCTGGAAGGCTGCAGGCTGCCCATGCTGCCCTCACTGGTGCTGTCCTTCAGATCCATAGCTCAGCTAAAGGCTGGCACTGCTTTTTGGGTCAGTCTGGAGCTGGAAGTGGGATCTGTTTGTCTCTCCTCTCCTCTCCGGGGTAATTAAACCCTATTAGGGGTGGGGAGAGCAGGAGAGTGCAGCAGCTGCTGCTAGTTTATCCCACGAGCTCAGCAGTGGCTTCAGCAGGGTAAATATTTATACGAGCTCCATTCAAACTCTTCGCTCTTGATTTCCTCGCTGCGATAAGGAGGGCTGGTTTTATTTAGGGAGACACCAAGGTGATGTGGAAGGGAGGTGGGTGGGCAGCCAAAGCGGAGCCAATGGCAGTGAAGTCCTCCCCCTGCACACACACACACACATGCACACACACGCGCCGAGGGGAGAGGAGATTAAGCGAGAGGGAGAGCTGAAAGCAGCTCCGAGCCTGTTAACTAGTGCGGAAAGCCAAAGCTGCTGCTGCTTCCCGCGGCTGATGCTCTCAGCTCCACCGGCTGATGCTCCCGCAGCTCCAGGGATGGGATCTGCTGGATTTGGGCATCTCTCTCCCTCCCTCCCCTTCCATTTTGAGCAGGGATCCAAGACACAGCACCCCAAAAATCCACCCTGGGCTGCTGCTGTTCGCTGATGCTTTCAGCCCGACAGGGTGATGCTCCCGCAGCTCCGGGAATTGGCATCTGCTGGATTTAGGCATCTCCCCCCCTGCTGCTGTTCGCTGATGCTTTCAGCCCGACAGGGTGATGCTCCCGCAGCTCCGGGAATTGGCATCTGCTGGATTTAGGCATCTCTTCCCCCTCCCTATCCCTCCGTTTTGAGCAGGGATCTAAGAAATAGCACTCCAAAAAAAAACCCACTCTGTGCTGCTGCTGTTATTTGCAAGGGTTTCTGTCAGGGAAAGGTGGGAGCTGCTGTTCGCTGATGCTTTCAGCCCGACAGGGTGATGCTCCCGCAGCTCCGGGAATTGGCATCTGCTGGATTTAGGCATCTCTTCCCCCTCCCTATCCCTCCGTTTTGAGCAGGGATCTAAGAAATAGCACTCCAAAAAAAAACCCACTCTGTGCTGCTGCTGTTATTTGCAAGGGTTTCTGTCAGGGAAAGGTGGGAGAAGATGATGGACTAATTCCGTGGGGGAAGGTGGGCAGCTAATGCCGCGGGAGAAGCAGGAGAGGAAAAGGGGGAGGGAAAGGCTAAAAAAAAATAAAGGAAAAGAGAGGAAATTTTCTGCTCAGCTCCATGCACACACACAGTGCCAAGCAGGGCTGAAAACAGCAGCTCAGAGCAAAGCCCAGGCAGGGCAGGACCCGGCAGGGAGCAGCGGCAGGGGCAGGGGCTGAGCTCATCTCCTCTCTCCGGCTCAGAGCTTCCCTTCCCATTCCCTTCCCTTCCCTGCAGGACTCAGCGCTGGGAGCTGTGAGTCCCCCCGAGGCAGGGGGAGAGCTCGGGCAGGGCAGGGAGAAAGGGCTGTGATCCCTCCAGCTCCTGCCCTGGGGAGGTGAGTCTGTCTGTCTGGGGGAGGCTGAGCCCTGTACCCCCCGGGCTGAAGCTTTGTCCGGCTCAGAGCTTCCCTTCCCATTCCCTTCCCTTCCCTGCAGGACTCAGCGCTGGGAGCTGTGAGTCCCCCCGAGGCAGGGGGAGAGCTCGGGCAGGGCAGGGAGAAAGGGCTGTGATCCCTCCAGCTCCTGCCCTGGGGAGGTGAGTCTGTCTGTCTGGGGGAGGCTGAGCCCTGTACCCCCCGGGCTGAAGCTTTGAGCAGAATCTCCAGCTGCTCTTTGTGCAGCTGTGATGGATTTGTTGGGGGAAGATGCTCCCAGATGTGCTCAGGCTGGGGAGGAGGAGGAGGGGGTGGAGAGGAGGCAAACTGGGAACGGGTTCCTGCCCGGGAGATGCTGCAGAGCCTGTGCCAATCCTCTGTGCCTGAGAGCATCCCCAGTGTGTGCTGGAGGGGTGGGAAGGGGTGGGCTCTCCATACAAGCCACTGTGGCTAATCAGAGCTGTGCCCCTTATTTATTGCACAGACATTCAGCCAAGGTGAGGTGTAAAAACTTCCTGCACCTTGTCATGCCCTTCCCAGGTAGGTGGAGGAGCCAGCACTGAGCAGGCCTAAGCAACCTGTACCCACAGTTAAAGCAGCTGAGGTCACATCACCCTTGCTCTGGGCTCCAACCTCACTGCCCTTGTGCTCACCATCCCCACACGCTCAGGGACAAGCCCATTTCCCACCCTGAACATTTCCTGGCAGGAATGGGTTCCCTTTCCTCCCCATGCCCAGCCCATCTGCAGCTCTCCCTCTTTCCCCCAGCCTGTCTTATTTGGCCTGGTGTGTTAATGCTTTCATTTTTCACCATGTGCTCTGCCTTTACAATCCTGTTTGCTGTAATTCACACCATACACCATCTGCTGCCTTTGATTGTTTGAGTGTGGAGAGAGCTCTGGCTGCAGTCTGGAGGGAATTGTGCTGTGTCCAGCACTGGCACCACCACTCCAGGCTCTGCTCCACTGCTCATGGGCCTGGACACACAGCAGGGAGACAAACCATCACATCATGGAATGGTTTAGGGTGGAAGGACTTTAAAGACAGCCCATACCACTCCTCTGCCATGGGCAGGGATACTTCCCACTATCCCAGGTTGCTCCAAACCCCATCCAGCCTGGCCTGGAACATTTCTAGGGATGGAGCTACAACTCTGGGCACACTCACACTCTGGTGAGTGCCTGTGACTCAGATTGTGCCCTTGGCATCAGCCACAGTGTCCTGAGAGCCAAGAAAAGCAGCTCTGGTCTTGCCTGGGGATGCATCACGGGATGACACCAGCAAGGCTAGGAGAGATGAGTTCCAAGGGCTGTTGGCACCTCTTGCCACCCATGTCAACAACCTCTCCATGTGCATGGGGAGGACGAAGCAGGTTGGCTGGTCTCAAAAATCCCCTGAGATGCCAGAGGATATATCTGAGATGCTAAGGACACCTGTACTCCCCTTCCTTGGGAGCAGCCAGGGAATGGTAGAGCATCCCTGGAGGGTGAAGTAGATGCATTGGGAGCTCATAGCCCAACCTCAGCCCTTGGATAATCCTCACTGCTTCAAACCCCTGGAAAATCCCCTTTTCCCCACGCCTTGGAGAGGCGGAGAGCAGAGCAGAGGGGCAGCTCTGGGGTGGCTGAGGACACAGGAGCAGAGCACAGCTCTTTGCACAGCCTGTGCCTGCCCTCTGGTGTCTCCAGCCCATGCTGCACTGCTCAGGGTGCTCATCCCGCCTGGAACACGGGAAAACGGGTTTATTGGGAAGGGAAAAGAGCTGGAGAAGAGTCCTCTCACCTGTGTGAACCCCTCTGCTGGCTCAGCACATGGTCCCTGGGTCAGAGCCTGCTCCTCAGCGCTGGAAAATCGCTGTGTTTGCTGCCAATTCGTTGCTTTTATGTTTCCCTCTGGGTTTGAACAGGAAAAAAGGAGGGGGGAAAAAAAAAAGAGAAGAAAAAGCACTGTTGGCTGCAGTCCAGGAGGTTTGTATCAGAAGCACAGAGTCATTTAGGTTGGAAAAGCCTCGAGTGGAACCGAGTTAACCCCAGCACTGCCAAGGCCACCACTGACCATGTCCCCAAGTGCCACATCCATGTGGCTGTTAAATCCCTGCAGGGATGTGACTCCATCCCTGCCCTGGGCAGCTGTGCCAGGGCTGGAAAAACCTTTCCATGGAGAAATTGTCCCTAATATCCAACCAAAATCTCCTTTTGCTTGAGGTTGTTTTCTCTCATCCTGTTGTCCCTTGGGAGCAGAGTCTGACCCCACCTGGCTGCACCTCCTGCCAGGGAGTTGGAGAGAGTGAGAAGGTTCTCCCTGAGCCTCCTTTTCTCCAGGCTGAGCCCCCCCAGCTCCCTGAGCAGAGAGAGCTCAACAATTTAAAAGTGTCCACCTCTCCCAACAGGAACATAATGTGGAATGCTGATGTTTCCCCTGAAATTGAGTCTAATCCCTTCCAAAGTAGCTTTGGCTTGACTAAATGGCTTTTTAATAGAGAGAGAGAAAATGGGAATTTTTATTCGATTTCAGGGCATTTAATATCGTGCTTGGATTTGTAATGGGGGATAAAATGAAAGCCATTAAAAAGAAAAAGGTTTACTTGAAGGAAAACCCAAAATATTCAAGTGGCTGCAGGTTGGGAAGCAGCTCCTAAAGGAAGGTCATGGAATCATAGAGCCATACACTGTGTTGTAAGGAACCTTAGAGATCCTCTCATTCCAACCCCTGCCATGGGCAGGGACACCTTCCTCTAGCCCAAATTGCTCCAAGCCTCATCCAACCTGGCCACCAGCAGATGGGCAAGATCCACACTGCAGCTGAGCTGGAGAGAGCAGCAGAGATGGTGACAGCATGAGGAGCTGAAGCATCTCCTGAAAGCATTTTCCTGAAAGCATCAACCAAAAGCATCTTCCTGAAACCATCTCCCCAAAGCATTTTCCTGAAAGCATCTCCTGAAAGCATTTTCCTGAAAGCATCTCCTGAAAGCATCTGCCTAAAACCTCTTCCTGAAAGCATCTCCTGAAACATCTCCTGAAAGCATCTTCCTGAAAGCCTCTCCCACAGTGGCATCAGTCCAATCCTTCACCATCCTCATCAGTCCATCCTGCCCTTGCAATCATCATTCTTGCTGTGCCCAAACCCCCATGCCCAGGAGCCAGGCCAGGAAGGAGCTGTAACTACAAGAAAAACAAATGTCCAAGTGGTAAAAGCTCTTAAACAGAAACCTGTGATTTGCTTGAGCAAACATTGGCACAGCTGCTCTGTTTGCTCCTCCAGGGGAAGCTGCAGGATGGATGAAGGGCTGACACCCATGCAGCAAACCAAGCACAGCAAAGCAACCCAACCCCTTCCAGAGCTCATTTGTGTTTCCTCAGCACTCACAGCACTCAGGGTCTGTCTGAAGGGGGAGGTCATCTTCAGCATGGCATTTTTGGCTGGCATTTTTGCCATGGGCAGGAACACCTTTCACCAGCCCAGGCTGCTCCAAGCCCCATCCAACCTGGCCTGGAACACTCCAGGGATGGAGCAGCCACCACACCTCTAGTTTCAACCTCTCCTTGGCTTCAAACCAGTTCAAGGTCCTTCAACGAGTCTATCCTGCCTGCCTAGACAGAGACTGAGGCAGCTTAAAATGCAGCCAAGGTCCCTCCTAGAGCAGCTT